GCCCCAGCGGCCGCCGGAAGCAGCGGCCGCGGCTCCGCCCCCGCCCCCGCCCGTCTCCCTAGCCGAGAAGCTGTCGGGACGACGGCCAACCAGGTGGTTGTAGTTGTTGTTGAAGCCGGCTACGGCTACCGCCGCGGCCCCGCCGCCGCCGCCACGCGCAGCGCCGACCCCCCCGACCCCGCTGCCGCTGCCGACGCTGGTCTCCCCGTCTTCGCTGTCGACCGTCTGCCAGTCCGCCACCGACGACTCCTGCGAGGATGTGTCGTCCCCGGCCGCGCCGCCGGCGCCAAAGGTCCCCGTGCTGCTGCCCGGGAGCACCGTCGAGGTCCAGCCCAGGTCCCGCTGCTGCCGCCGGGACATGATCGCCGTGCGACGCCACGGCTTCGGCTCCGGCGGCGCGTCCAGGAGGAGCCCCTTTGGCCAAGAAAGGGGGTGGGGGTGGGGTTTGCCGGGGTAATTGTGCCGGTAGGGGTGCATGCCCCCCCCCCCCCGGTGCTGGCGGTCGCTTCCCCCTCCACGCGCCCGAGGTTGGTGCTGCATGGCTCGGCCCGTTACCTGTGTGCGTCCACAGAGAAGTTGGTTGGAAGGGCGTGAGATGCAGCGGAGGCTTAGTTGAATGTACGCTGTGCGGGCATGGAGGGAGAATAAGAGGTTGGATGAGGGCGCGCCTGGGAAAATAAGATGCAGCGGAGGCTTGGTCACATAAATAGTAACATGCAGCGGAGGCTTGTTTGGTCGTCGTTTCGGTGCGGCTCTTGGCATGACCTGACTTCAAACATGTGCTGCGCTGGCCGGGGCCAAGGTTTCACGCGGGTGGTGATGCGTGGCGGTTTGTGGTTGGGGACTCACTTGACTGCTTATCAAAGCATGCTGGGAGTTTCAAGTTCAACTCATGTACCAACACAAGAGAGAGAGGGAGAGGTTTGACAAAAACACCCATGGGCACGAGGCGCCAGCCACATCACAACCCCACACACGCAAACATCTTCGCGTCCTTCTTACCGAAGCCGACAACCATACTTCAGGGTAAACAGCTTGCTTGTCCCAAATCAGCTTCGCTCATGGAGGGTATGACGTAAGGCTGTAAACGTGAGGTGCCGTTGATGTGGTATCAAAAAATCGGATACGTGTGTGTGTCCGTCCCTTAACCTTTATTTTCTTTTCTGTCGGCAGCCTCAACCCTTCCCTGGGTGTACGTACCATAGAACACCATGTACTATGTAATGCTGCTGTTGTGTTACATACGTGTTTGACGTACATATGTTGACGTATGCATTTTCATGTCAGCCGGGGTCACACAGCAGCAAGAGGTGTAGCAAGGAGGTTGTATGCAGTTTCGGTTACATGAAGGAGCGTTCGATATTCAAAATTTTGCGCCGTGCCTCTGCTTATGCCTTAGCTACAGCAGCAGTCGCGACAATTCAGTGCAATGCAATGATGCATGTCAATGCGGGTCTGTCTGTGCATCTGTGCGCAAAGCACGTCTGAGACTGGATTCTCGAGCTGCTGCGTCTTTACTTCCATGATGTATGTATTTGCAGGAAAAGGGGGACGTGTATGAATCCCACCCGCCCACACAGCCGCAGCGTACAGGAAGAAGAGAGTGTGCGCGGGAAGGACAAAAAAAAAGGCTCAACTCGACAATCGAGCAGTAGACATCAATCATACCAGCTTACACTATTCGGAATAGGAGTACCATCCAGTCGAGTGGAGTAGCGAGGACAGACAGCAAAATGGAAACACCCGCCTTGCCAACAACGGACGCGGGGCAGCTCATGCAACTATAGCAGCAGTGCTATGTAATACCGGCTCTGCTGCTGCTGTGCGCGCGTTGTCAACCAACACCCTTCGGAACTTGGGAATTCTGACTGACGGACGCAAGGCACACCCTGTTTTTCGAACCCCACAAATGCGCGGTGTCGTGTGAGCAAACGCGCAGCAGCGGGTGAAATATAATAACGGAGAAGATGAGTACGGGAAGGCACGCAGGAACGGTTGGGTAGGGTGGACCACTGGGCTTGGCGGGAAATTGCAGCCGAACTGCTTCGCGCAACAACCACAACGTTTGTTTGAAGTTTGGAAACCGGCTGGAGGGACGCATATCACAATCCATCAATTACCAAAAAAAAACGATTCTCTCGACAACAGGCACACAGCACAGGAGGAAGCAGCAGCGGTTTCTGGCGCCTCTCTGTCGTGGTACAAATAAAGTGCACAACTTTTTCCTTCGGAGGTACACAGCCGCCGCCACCATTAAACCAAGCCAGCGTGCACAGGGGAGAGCTGGGGCGCGGTTTATTGGTTGTCGGCGACGACTTGCACTGGTTCAACCACCTCCCCGCGCATCGGAGAAAGAGAGAGACAGAGAGAGAGAGAGTGCTCTCCATAGTACCTCCCGAGGAGATTGATGCTTTATTCTCTGTGTGCGATGAGCGTATTTTTAGGTGCAGAGATGAACGAGACCGGAGGTCTGTGACGCAAGGCCTTTGCTGCGCTGTTCACAACGACAAAGCGCATGGGCTCCTCCCTAACAGGAGCAGGGGACAGCGAGAGAGCACGCCGACGATTGCCCGGCCCGGCCGCCCGCCATTTTTCATTTTTCGAAACCAAAAAATGAAAATAACGCTCCACGCCACCACGACGCCGACCAACCGCGATATGATATTTCTCGGGAAAATCATCATCACAAAGCGGCCGATTCTATGTACCATTTCGTCCCCAGCAGCGGATTGATATTCATCGGTCCGTTGACGCTCTACAGGAGGGAGGGTCCCAGGGCGCAGGGCCAGACGCAAGGCACACACACACATCGATCGCCATCTGCCCGGTGACCTCGTCAACGCAGCGGGGTAACCTGCTTGCAAAGCCCGGGCGGCACCTAATCTAAGCACGTTCAACAACGCTACCCAGCGCGGCCAACTTTTTCTTTTTTTGACCGCGATTTTTTTTCTCGGCGGCCGGCCGAAGTTGTGGTTCTGGCGATGAGAATAACTGCACGAACACCGACTCCACCACCACGACTCGGCTCCCGCTCTCTCCCCCCCCACCCCTCTCTCTCTCTCTCTCTCTCCCTCTCTCTCTCTCTCTCGCGTCCTGTTCTCACCTTCGCCGAAGTGTAGCAGTCGAGGCTGCAGTAGCCCCGGCCCAAACCGTCATCATCATTGCTTGCGTACTCCACTTGAAACTGGCCAAGTCCGTAGCCGCAACCCCGACACCTCTCTCTCGAACCCCGCCCCGACGAAAACTGCGCCGGCGATGCCGTCCGTTGGTAGACCATGATGATGCTTTACCTCCTCTCGATTTCAAGCCTGCGGCATGCTTCGCTTGTTGTTGTTGTAGTGTGTGTGTGTGAGAGAGAGAGCGGACGACGGAGATGGTGTCTACGTACGTATCATCGACGATCGATACGGCAGCCAAAAGTGCCAAAAAGTGTTAAGGAATAATAAAAACACACACAGAAAAACACACACAGAAAGACAACCAATTCGAGATGTACCCACGTACCCACAGCAGTCGAAGTGAGTGTCATATTAAGAAAAAAAAAAAAAGGGCTTGGGACAAGAGATGAACCCACGTCCTTGAAGTCGGTCAGAATGAAGTTTCCCTGCCGTGGAGGTACTGCTGTACTGCTGCTGTGTGGTGTGGGGGCCGATCGTCAAGCGTCAAAATAAGTACTGCCGAGGGTTTGTGCTGACGTCATGGGCGGCGAGGTGTCGGCGACGGAGCTGGAGAGCAAAGATGCGGAGGCGCAAGGTGGCTGTTTGTCTGTCTTTATCACTGGTCCCAACTTGGCTGCATCATTGTAGGTTGGTTGATGATGCCGTGTTGTTTGATTCGTACACGCGTGGCAAAATAAAAACTGACAGCTGCCAGCTGCCAGTGTAGCCTACTACTGGCAACCCATCAATCGCTGCTGCTGCTCTAGGTTCGACGTCCATCGGAACTGTGTACCAGCTCTTATACTCTAGGAGATGCAACGAACAAGTGTGTTGGCACGTAGTACCATCGGCGAAATGTCTCTGCCGTTGTGTATGTAGTAGGCAAGTTGTGTGCGTGCACTAAAAATCTATGAAGGACTTTGACTGGCTTTTTTCTACAAAATGCTTCGTCGTTGACGCTCAGGGACCAGGTACGTACATAACCCACGCAAAGAGCAAGCGGAGAGCTAAATTAAATTGTTGCTGTGCTTGGTTGGAACAGCAGTCGTGAGCGTTCACACAGGCAGAAGTGTATCGAGTACATGCATCAGCAGTCAGCGTAATTAAATGCACGTGCGCACGGTAGATTCAGAATTTCAAATAATCATCAAGTCACGAAGCATCTCCATGTCCTATTCGAATCAATTCCCGCGATCCACATATCTTCACCTATCTTCACCATCGTCGTATCTATGTGTGCATAAGTAGGGCTGTGCCATGAAATGACCCAGCGGCTGAAACTCCTGCACGAAGAGAAGACTGCCCTCTCCTCCGAACTGAGAACGCTGTCTGCGAAGGGGTCTTCATCGTCAACAGTCAGGTATATACTGTAGAAGTATGTTGCTTGCCTACAAGCCGCTCTTACCGTTGTACGTAGACTATTCATAGGTGAGATGAGATACCGCACATCCCCGGGCCCCGGGCCGATTTCGCAGCTCGGTTGCTCCGAAAACGTGCCAGATGTTTTGCATCCTCTTCGTCGTCGAGTAGCGGAGCTTTGAAAATCGCCCCGGGGAGGGGTGTGGTATCTTGCGTCACGTACGAGTAGTCCACACAGAGCATTCGTTACCATTATGCATAACCTGGACGGACTACCACACGTGTACCATGTACAGACGTCGGCTACAAAGGTACTAACATGGAGCCAGCCGCCAGAGCTCTGAGGCCGATCGGCAAGGAGCAAGCATACCAGTCTGATGAAGTCTGTAGTCTACATGTGTCTGCATGCAGGATGTACCGGGAATTTAGAGTAGAGTAGAGTAGCGTAGTTGCGCAGACCTTTTTCCACCGGCCGCCAAAAATTGAAAACCACCTCTTCTACAAGTTCATTGATCGGACCAACAACCTACATTATTTCTATTAGATACCAAATTGCCATCTTTTCGAGGAAAATATTAATATTGGAAGGAAGGGCGGCGACAAACCTTTTCTCTCTCGACACTTGGCGGCTGCGGCACCACCCGTACTCTGCACGTACATGTGTCAGCGTTGTTCCATAGTCCTACATCGCTCTCGGTGCGGCTTTCAAAATGTATTATGTAGTCACACACAGTAGCAGGAGTTCTCGCTCGAGACTAAAATCTCAGGGAGGATGCGTTGAATCTTTGCGGCGATCCTTGAGTGCCTCCTACTTACGTGTACCCGCTGCAACTAAACGGTAAAAACGTTTGTCGGCAACCGGTGCTCGAAACACTGCGAAACAGATTGGTCGCTGCGGACAATGCGATGGCGGCGATGGTGACTTCCGGAATCATCGGGGTGTTCGCAGGAGGGGCCCTGGCAAGGTTCCTAGCTGCGAGGAGAGGGAGGAGCCGTTTGAGCCGTCGACAGCAAGACAAAGATAAAGATCGACACTTCACCTAATTAACAACCGCCTGACGACGTCATGGACACGCCGATCGAAGTTCTTCCTCGTCAGCGTTTGTTGCCTAGACTACTTGTATCATAGAGAACGATGTAAATTCTTGTCAGGCACGTTCATATGGGCGAAGCGGGGTTTCCTCATCGGCTTTTGTTTGTTGCCTACCTGTAAATAGAGATGTAAACGACCGTCGAGAAGTAGACTATAGGTACACAGGTAGCAGACACGTTGACATGAACGAAGCGGGGCTTGTGCAATCTACTGTACACCACGGGCCGGGCGAGTGTTTTCCCGAATGAACCAAGACGTTAGCAGCACCTGTCACGTGCATTCTGCATAGATCTCCCGAAATAGAAGTAGGTGATGTCTGGGCGGTCGTAAGCATAGTCTATAATAAGTGTGATGCGCACACGAGGATGCCCGCTCGTATGTATGTAGACTACAGCTGTTAGCACGGGGCTTGGACCACGGAGCGGAGGACCTTCGGCACAATCATTGCGCGGGGTTCTTTCAGTCGCTTACGGCACATGTCTTGTACAGCAATACATGGTAGTGTGGTGAGGACGTGACATCGCTTCCGTGAAAACCGCCCTAGGCGGCAACCACAAAGGCTTGCCAGCATGGCGAGACGTCTTGACGTGGTATTCATTATGTAGAAAGCATTTACGTATTGCTACAGAAATGTTTCTGTGTTCCCAGAACAAGCACAGCATGCGGCCATGAGGCCTGTATTTGAGCTGAGCCAAGTGATCCTTGACGTGCAATAGCGTCAACACTGCTGCTGCAGCCAGGAGCCGAAAGTCAAGTTGCTCTTCACAATTCAACTGCGACACACACCATTCATTCACAAAAATAATATCCCAACCCAACACCGTAGTCAAACTTGGCTTCGACTTCTCACCCAGCGATCACACGCAGACACAGCTAATGTCGACGTAGATGCTGTCGAGCCCCCCCCCCCCCCTGTACCCCCCTGCCCACAGTAAGTGATTTCCATCAATACCGCCTCTTTCAACAAACTACCCACCCCATCATGTTTAACTTGATGCCCGTGTCCCACCTCAGTTCACGTGTACTGTGTGCCCTCACGACGTTCACTGGGGTTGGTTCTACAAATGATCCAGTCTCTCTCAGAGAACCACTCCAACCATGCATGTACTCTAATGTCAAAGTTGCCTTCCCGTGATGCGTGTGGCACAAGTCCAAGCCTAGTGGCAAAAAAGTTGTGAGTTACTAAAGCAACCGAACCGTTAATTCTTTCCCCAACCACTGCAGCTCAATCACCGTCGATGGACTACATACAAACACGCGCGGCTCTTTTGCTCGACAAAAAAAAACTATTTAGAAATAGTACAATCTTTCGAGTAACCGCGTGCGACCTTCGTGTCGACAATCTTAACAATTTTGCCGAGCCTTCGAGCTGTACTGTACTCTGGGAGGCAAGAGTTGCTCTATCCGACGCCGTACTTGGCACGGTACGCCCTCATTGCTTCCAGCGCCTGGGAAAACAGGCAGCAGCACCGACGGCACCAACACCATTACACACGCATGACCCGCAGCAGCAGCAGCACCATCGCCATGCGCACGAAATGCCGAATGTTAACCGCGAACAGAAGCAGGTGGGGTACGACGCACGAGGAGAGGAAGAGGGACGTTACAACTGAGTCAGCGGAGGCGAGTAGAGGCACTGCATGATCGACACAATGTACTGTACCCCCCCCCCCCCC